AGGGCAAGAGGCTAATAGATAGACCTTGTGCGGAGTATGAAAGAGGCCAAACAACGGAGCTAATAATCACACAGGCGTGTCTCTCCAACAATTATAGGCCTGATAATCGGCCATATTAGATAGCATAATTATCAACTCATAAAGTTATACGGACTACAGCGCACATCTAGAGCGCTGAAACAGCGCCATCCCAGTTACACACCACCACCGACAGCCATATAAGCAATAACCATAACACAACACCAACACCACCATTATTCTGCCCATAAATAAATATAACTAATATAGAGTACCAAGCGACACGACTCTATCGCGCTTATGTGCGTTTCTATTGAGACTCTATGGGCTTGGACAACGGGCGGATCACACGGCCGTTCCCGCGGCGGCTCTACCCATATATATACAATATCCGACAACCAATAAAGACGGGGTTCTGTATGCCGCATCTGAAAAGGAATTTTCACGGTGGTGACATATCGGCCTGATACTGCGATGTTGGAGTGCATATTCGTATCTATCGCTAATGTAACTGTCCAATTGCCAAGAGAGCGCAGATTCCTCAACAGCGGCACGAGAGCGGCAATTCGAGCGACCCGTTCGTCGACACGACGGTGTTTCTACCACGTCCTCACTGGCGACTTATTACTACAGTCACTGGTCAAACACATTGTTCCGAGAAATTTTAGACTGTATAGTTGTGGGCGTTTGCTGAGTAGAGGCTAAACAACACGAATGCGCAGAAGAACACAAGCTTACCGATGCAGGCCCGCAAAGCCGTGCGCGTGCCGGAGACATGATCAGCCATGAACAGACTCGGACAGATCGGCATGCGACAGATGCCATTGATTGCGCCGTGTGAAAAAACGGGAAAGGATGTAAGAGCACCAAATATAACGCGGGGGGACCGCTTAAATATAATGACACACAATCATCTAGTTCCATATATACGTGTCAAACAATACAGAGTAATAGAGGGGAAGAAGGAGAATGAGTGTGTGAGAGAGAGAGAGCACAAGAGGAGATGAAATGAGTAGCCGGGAGACGAGGAAGAGAGGAATGAGAGCAGACTGCTTAGAGGAGCAGAGCGATTCTAAACGAGAGCAGAGAGAAGAGAGGCAGTGAGGATTAAGCAGTAGAGAGAGAGAGTAGAGAGAGAGACGGAGAGGAGAGAAGAGACGAGAGGAGAGAGTGAGGAGAGCAGTAGAGCAGAGAGAGAGAAAACGGAGAGAGAAAGAGAGTAGATGTAAATCTTGAAGAGAGTAAGCTTACGGGCGCGCGCGGATTAGAGACATTCGTGTCTTATCATGAGAGGAGGCTAGCATGTGAGCTGCTCTGACGACGGCCACTGAACGATCATACGCCGTGTCAGGTCTTCACGACCTTACGCCGCAACCACCACAGTAGTAGTCCCGATGTATACACATATAGTTATATGTAGGAATGTGTAATACGCCAGTGCAATATATATACACAGTGTCAGAGATAGCAGCGCGTCCTCACGTGTGCTCCAGCGCGGAACCGGTACCTTTTGAACAGGACTACTTAATTTTTTATGGATTTTACTCGAGGTTATATAATAGAGAAAAAAAGTTAAAATCAGTGACTGCGGATTGGGTTAGTGTCTGCGCGGTGCGCGCGCGATTGAGAGGCGCAGGGTTATTCCGCCGTGTGTGTGGTGTGGAGTTGTGTGCTGTGTTTGTGTGTGTGAGTGTGTGTTTGTGTGGGTGTGGTGTCGTGTCGTGGTGGTTATCGCGTGTACGATATTATCTCATTATTTATGAGTAAAGCAAAGGGCTCTCCAACACACCATCTACGCTGCGGGAGGGGGGAGGGAAGGCGAGGGAGGGGAGGAGGGGAAGAGGATGCAAGGGGGGGAGGGGGGCGGAGGGCGGGAGGGGCGAGGCGTGCAGGGCCAGGGGGGGAGGGGAGGCAAGGGGAAGAATGCGGTGAGCGGGGGGAGGGGGGGGGGGGGAGGGGAGAGAGCGGCCAGGGACGAGGAGGGCAGGGGAGACTGACCGCCTTCACTCGGAAGTAATGATACACCCGCGCGTGAATCCTCGCACTGGGGCTGCTTCAATCAAGATCGAAACACTTTCGAACCTCACGGTCAAAGCGTGTGTTGGCAGATCGGTTGCTTATTGAGATGACGCCATCGAGTCAATTGCTGAGGTGTGGCAGAGATTAGCTCAAGCTTATGCTGCAATAAGCGCAAAAAAGCTCGGCTGCGCTATCTGGCGGCGGTGGTGGGGTGGGGTGGTGCGGGTGCGGTGTGGTTGTCGTAGCTGCTCGCTGGCTGGAGCAGTAGGTGGTGGTGTGGTATGGCTGGGCTCGGCTGCTTGCGCTGGGGGGGTGGGGTGGTGGGGGGTGTGTTTGGTGGTGTTTGTGGTGTGGTGGTGGATGGTGGTGGTGGCCGGCGGTGGTAGGAAAGTGTGGGTGGTGTGGGTGTGCTATGTTGTGCTGGCTGCTAGGGTGGGGTGGTGCGGTGATGCTGCGCACGCTCCTGCTGCGAGCGCCGGCGTCAGGGTAGTTGGGTATGTGCCTGCGCTGGCTCGCTGGCGCTCGGGACGAGGCTGGGAGGTGGTGGGTGTGCTAGGGGGGTGGCTGGTGCTGCTGAGCCTGCAGCCGTATCGGAATCGAAAGCATACGACGCAGTGCGCGTGCGTAAAGCACCACGAGACAACGACGTCGCCCTTACGCCAGGGGCGCTCGTACGGTAGATATTAATCGGTCTCGCAATATATTACGAATTAAGTGCCGCGGGTACTTACATCCCCCACCACCCCTGAATTTCTGTGTACTCACCCCTCACACACAAGACACACCGGCACGCACAACGCAGCACACAACACCCCGCCACGCCAACGCACACACACCGATCTAGGACAGGGCGCACCGCGCGCCGCACAGCGGCCAGTCGACCACAGCATGACAGTTTCATAAACTCTGGTACTGTGATCATTCAACCGCGTCACACTCGCGCGCGCGTCCAGAGACCGCGTCTACCTCCCCCTGGTACAACGGTGTTTCGGCCGAGAGACTCAGCAGAGATGAGCTGGCTATAAGAGGACTTGACAATGAGGAGAAGACCTCAGCACACGAATGACAAGCCCATGGGGGAGGAGGGGGAGAGAGGGGAGGAGAGGAAGAGGAAGGGGGACTTCGCGTGATGCGTCCGAAATACGCGTGTCGTTGATGAAAGCAGACTCATAACCGACGGACACCACCATATCGTACTAGCATGAACGGACGACAGACTCCACGACGCGCGTGAAAACGTAATGCCGCTTGTCAGGTTTAGGCGCGCTTCGCGAAAGGTGAATTTTTGTACAATCTGGCAAGGTTCGTATACAGGGCAAGATTGTCTAAAGAAGTTAAGTGTTGCCGTCCAACCATAAGAATATGCTTTCTCCAACCATGAAAAATGCTGGTTCGAGGCCCTTAAGCTAGAGAGAGGCTGGCAAGCGTGTCCTGACTATAGAATGGAGCCTTTCCTCCCTAACTATAGAATGGTAGCCTTCTATACATATAGAGTGTATATTGTCCTAAATACAGGTTTGTAGCTTTCCCTAGACTACAGAATGGGTACCGGATTGCCATAACTATAGTAGTGTAGCATATGTATTATTTGCGGCGTATCACGAATATGTCTATTTAGTTATACTGCATGTGAGAAGATAGATGCGGACGAACGGTGGCGCCTTGCATGGCCTGCATAAGCCCTCGGCCAAATTCAGAAAAAGAAATGAGTCTTAAACATTATTCGTTTATATTACGCTGTTTTTGAACAACGAACCCACTGTTCTGTAGCAACACCTAGACTACAATGACTATGCTTTGCTTCAACGATTCGTAACATCGACAAGCATATTCGGACTGGGCGGGACAGTCAACGGATCGAAGCTAATACACCCCAAGCAAAGGCGCTCGGCTGTAGTAGCAAAGTCACACGTGTCCTATAAAAACTGCTTCATGACATTCCCTTTACTCAAATGTCTGTTGCATCTACGGACAAATACGACATACCAATATACGCGCTCTCCTATGACACGATTTGTCATGATGGCAAATTACAGGCTGAAATTCACTTGCTTGCGTTGCCATAATACGCTCCTAAACTCCTATGGTGGCGCACATCGGCGCTGCGGTCGGTCGCGGGGACGGCGATTGCACACATACATGACAAATTTGTCATAAGTGAATTATGACTTGTAATATGGCTTATAACATGACTTATTAATATGATTATTATGTATAATATGGCTTATTATTATGGCTTGTAATATGGCTTATAATATGGCTTATAATATGGCTATTATGTATAATATGGCTTATTATTATGGCTTATAATATGGCTTATAATATGACTCATTAATATGATTATTATGCATAATATGGCTTTATCATTTGTCAATCAGAGGCACGATTAACCGCCGAAGTCGCAAACTAATAAATTAATTAATCGTATATATTTTATTTATTGTGCTCGTCGCAGTTAATGACGTAGGAAGCAACGTACGTGTCGGCTGCGTAGGTGAGTCCGAAGTATTCCTTCTCCTTCAGGTTGAAGTGCGAGGCGACGATGTCCAGCAGTTCACCCGCGTACAGCTTCGGCTGCGAAGCAGACGATCATTCGTTAATGACGGGCTCTGATTGGTCGCCAAGGCCAGCCGATAGACGGCGCGTTATGGAGATATCCCATAATACACTATTGTTCCGGATCAGGACATAGGTTGGGGCGTTGGTTCATGATGTCATAGACATAGATATCATATATAAACATGTTTATTGGATGTATGTGGTTGGTGGAATTTATGATATCCGGATGAGCTGCCGCCTGTTCCAGGGCCGTAGCTCGCGGGGGAGGGGCAAGGGGTAACTCACCCCCATAGAAATGTAGATACATTTCATGATCAATGGCGGTCACTTTACCCGAACGCACCACGCACGTGCGTTTGCCAACGTTAGTAGTTTAAATTCATCCACTTATAGTTGGTGTTATATGTTGTATTGGGTAACTATGGCCTGGCCACAGCGAGTGTGGAGTGAAACTAGCAGCATCTCACCTGAATCAAGATGTCCAGGACTCTCTCGTCTGGCAAGGTAACGTGACTTCTCCGTCCTTCCGTCATCTGAAACACAAAACCGCGACACGTTCATTTGCACGTCGGGTAACTGAAGAGGCGTGAGAAATAACAACAACAAGGATGACGACGACGACGACGATGACGACGACGTCGGCGACGACGACGACAACGACGACGTCGATGTCGACGACAACGACGGCGACGACGGCGACGACGGCGACGACGGCGACGACGACGATGTCGACGACGACGACGACGATGTCGTTTAGATGTCTACGTGGCGCATATATATATATATAATTATATATATATATATATATGGGTTCCAGGAAGGGGGAGGTATGAGGCGGGTTTGCATACATGGACAGCAGCAGCACACCAGGAGAGCATATACATTCACACATTAGCCACGGACATGGGAAAACATACGCATGGTTGAATGTAGTTACGGGAGTGACTGCAAGGGCATAGGAATGTGAGAACTATACTTATGTATTATTAAGAGTACATAATAGATTTCTCTTCTATAGATGATATTATCTATCTATAGAACTTCACACGCCGACCTTTGTCGAATGTTAACGAGTTTTGCCGAGTTGTTTGTCAATGTGGCAGACCGAACATCTTATAGCTTGTTGAGAGGTGACTCATTGAGTGACGCAGAGTCCTTCAGATAGTTTGAAGTGTGTGGCATTCTGTAGTGGATGCCAAAACCTGGTTGGTTTTTTGAAAAGGTCAGTGCGAACTGCACACAGATGCGCTAAAGCGTGTATCGTGGCGAGTAGATGATTGGCACCACGTCGCCATCGTCATCACTGTCGTCAACGCTATCATCAATGCCACCGTCATCGCGGCCATCACTGACGGCTTCATCGTCATCGTTATCATCACCGTCATCGTCAGTGACATCGTTACCATTGTCATCATCATCGCCGTCGTCAACCCCATCATCATCGCCATCACTGTCGCCCGATACACGGTTGGGTGCTTTAAGAAGCTTAGTGAGTGCGTGGGAGCAGGCTTATTACCTGTGTGTGTGTGTGTGTGTGTGTGTGCGTAGCGTGGCGGCGTGCGTGCGTGGCGTGCGTGCGTGGTGTGTGTAGCGTGCGGTGCGTGCGTGCGTGTGCGTGCGTGCGTGCGGCGTGTGTGTGTGTGTGTGTGTGTGTGTGTGTGTGTGTGTGTGTGTGTGTGTGTGTGTGTGTGTGTGTGTGCACGCACACCCAATCAGCCGGGCATGGAGTAACTTCAAGCCCCCACCGAGTCACGGTTCCCATGACTGTATTTGTATGTATGGGCACGTCCATCAATCCACGCGACAGGGCGCCCACGCGCACGCGAGCTCAGTAAGCTAGGTAGCGTGGGTGTGCACGTGTGAGATGACGCGGGGAAGGGGGGTCGGGCGTGTGTGCTTATGTTGGGTGGTAGGGGGGGTGCCTAAGTGGGGTGGTAGGGGGGGGCGTGTGTGCCTAAGTGGGGTAGTAGGAGAGGGGTGACTAAGTGGGTGGTAGGAGGGGAGCGGGCGTGCGTGTCTATGTTAGCTGGTGGGGGGCGTGAGTGCTTGTGTTAGCTGGCAGGAGGGGGGTCGGGCGTGCGTTAGGGTAGAAGCATTTTGTTATCGCCCTCCACTATATAAGTGGGTGGCGGGAGGGCACGCGGATGTACGCATTCGAGGCGGCGGGGGAGGGGGTCAGTTTGAGTCGCTGGCGACGGCGGCGGCGGCGGGCGGGGGCCGGGCAAGCGTAAGGCCAGGAGCAGCAGATGCCGTCCTATCTAGCACTGCTCTCCTGTGCTACCTCTCACGTTAACGCCGCACAACGCGTTTTTTTCCTGTTCATCCAAAAACTTGTTTTGTCAGCGGTGGCGGTGGTGGTGACGGTGACGCGGAGCNTGGGGGGAGGGGGAGTTGTTGGTGGCGGGGTGGGGGGGATGGGAGGGGGGAGGGGCGGTGGTGAGTCATTCGCTGGCGGCGGGAGGGGAGTAGAATAGAGCGGACTCTCTGCTGCGGACTAGTCGCAGCAGAAAAATGCTTTCCACGCGATTTCGCTGAAGAGTGGCGAAAAGGCCACGTGCACGCGTGTGAACACGGGAAGTGGTGGTGGGGGGGGCGCGGCGGGGGGAGGGGGTGGAATATTGTAACTACGGCGTACGTGTGTACAAAGCATCTGCGTGCGTAGCTCACGGCAGCTATCCCGTGTCTCACCTTGTGTTGCTAATCACCATGGCAACGGGATGAGGGGAGGAGGCAGGCAGAGGCAGCGGTGGGGGAGGCGGCGGGGGAGGGGAGAGGTATGCGGCGGAGGCGGTGGAGGGGGAGGTGAAGGCGGCGGTGTGGTTGCGTTTTAGCCAGGCTAATACATCCACGCGATTCAGCACACATCCTATATTTGCTACAGGGCATGCAAAATATACGGCTAAC